AACCTTTCTTGTCTATAAAACTTGGATATTAAAACACCTGTTCCAGGAGGCTGTTAATGACTAAACAAAATGACACATGTAAAAAACTTAGGGTTGGACCTGACACATGGTAGGGGCCCAAAACATATTCTCTAAACCTTTCTATTGTCAATTTAGTGGAGTAGAGGCTTTTAGTCAGTAAAACGTGGATGAGAAAATCATGAAAACCTGTTATTATTTTCTCTAGAAGCTATTCTTTCAACAGCTACTAGGTGCTATGGGAAATTTTACAAAGTGATTAATTTCTCCAGCTACTCATTCTAGTAGGAGAGAGACATGGATAATATAATTACAGAATATGATAAGAGGTAGAAACAATGTGCTATTAGAAATTATAGGGTAGGAGAGGATTCTGATATGGTGGAGAAGCATTGAAAAAGTGTCCTTTTTAATTTGTATGACAAAATGGGGATATTCTTGAAGTTCTGTTTTTTAGGAATAAAGTAAAAATTGGTTAGCATTTGGGCTATATTGTCTTTAAATGTTAAGGCCTATTTGGGCATCAAGAACTTTAACCTAAATATTATCCAAATACGTATTTAATATAAACTATCACTCTTAATGTTGTTCTCATATTTCTATTTTTTAGAGGAATGAATACATTTTGGAATTTGTCACTACCAGTCTGAAAGTGAAATATTTTGGGTAGTAATGGCAGTTTTGCAAGTGACCTTCATTTAAGCTCTAAAAATACATTTTGTGCTTTTTACTTAATCACGTGCTTCCTATCCATATTTAAAGAAAATGGCTTTTCTTTTCTTCATAAAAGCTCAGTAGGGACCTCCCTGGTCACGCAGCGGGTTGAGCCCTGTGCTGTAAAGCTGTCCACAGCCTCTGCAGCACAGGTTCGATTCCTGGCCGACCAGGGAGAAACCCACATGGCGTGGCAGACCTCTCCTGCCTTGCCCGCTGCTCCCCTCAGCAGTGTCTTTGGTCGATCTGCCTGTTCTGCTCCCTGCTCTCTCTGGTGAATTCTCTCACCCTCCCGTGCCTCTGACCTGTACCCCAGTTCTTGTATGAATAGATGGATCTTTAAAAAAAAAATCTCAGTAGGAGTTTTTGGATATATCCAAATTTCCTCTTAAACAAATTTTTTTTTAATTTCAAATTTGTTTTGTTAAACACTGATTTGTGCTATGCTGCAGATCTTTTATTTTTTAAATATATCTAATTAAAAATATTTATTTATTTATGCTTACAAGAACTGGGGTACCAGCCAGAGGTGGGAGGGACAGTGAGAGGATTCACCAGAGACAGAGTGGGAAACACAACAGGCAGATTGACTGAAATACACTGCTGAGGGGAGCAGCAGGCAAGTCAGGAGAGGTCTGCTGCACCATGTGAGTTGCTCCCTGGCCAGTAGGGGATTGAAGGCAGGGGATCTAATTTGTAGACTCAATCAGAGAAATACCTTAGATACATCACTTCTTATAAGTGCCTTTCCCCAATTGTGTAGGAGAGCTTGTTGCATAAACTTGAATCACACGTGCTCTGAAGACAGACAGTGCGTGCAAAATGATTGTGAAAGACTTATCCACTACATTTTTTTTCTTCTTCTGTTTCCTCTTATGGGCTCTCTTTTTTTTTATTGTTGTATTTTTCTCATCTTGGTGTATGTAAAGAGTTCATGACCTTTGTGAAAAGAAAGTGATGACATTTTTAAGTCTAGTCCAAGGCCAGGACCCTGTGAGCTTACTGGTTGTACACTGTCAGGACTGGTGGCCACAATTTGATAGACAATAGAATTCAGGAGTTGGAAAGATGGTTTACGGATGAGGTGGTGATGGGAGATTTATTGGGATTATACCTGAGGGGAGAAATTAAATATTGTATAAAAATGAACAACAATGTAAGAAAAAAACATAAAGAAATAGGACTGATGGCAGAGTTTACATATATTTATATTTTAATTATCTACATGTGGACTAAATAGTTATGGATAGCTTTTCACTCATGCATATTACAGAATTGGCTTCAAAAGCATTATGTAATACAGTACAGAAATAAATTTTAAAACTGGGGGGGAAGCTAGCTGAGTTATAGAATAGTGTATCATAATGGAATCTTCAAATATGAGAAGAAGAGTTTCAGTACCATCTCTATCATTTAGAGGTTGCATGTACTTTAGAACAAATCATTTTGCTTGTGTGAGTCTCTACTTGGTCATCTTGGAAATGGGGACATTATCTCCTTCAGGGAGTTGTGTTGAGGATTAAATGAGGTTATATGTTTAGCAAAAATAATTTTTAACTTATAAAATAACTTCGTAAATATAAAGAAGTAATAGTACTAGCTTCCTGCTTGAAACCATAATCAATGGAGTTGGTTGTCTTGATGTCAGGGGAAGTAAAACGTAATTCTGGGCTTCAGTGAGACGGACATTAACCAACTCTGAGATTTTGAACAAGGCATTCTTCCTCTTTCGGGATCACTTTTCTTATATTAGATATCAGATTAGTTATTAGAGTTAGATGAACTCTAAGAACTCTTCTAGGTCAGGAGATCCTAAGCGTGCCTCCTTTCACTGTCACTCTTATTACTTATTTATGATGGAAGTAACCAAATAGAAGGGCAAATATAGTACCATCATAGAATTCCCCTGTGAGTTCACTCACAGTGAATTCTAAGGGGGTACAAAAGCTTGATTAGCACCTCTTTCCTTCTGAGGACTAGGCCTTCATGTTAGCTGTTTTTATTTAGCTCTTTGCTGGTCAGGTAACAATATGATAAGTTTTTCTTGTTTCTGTGACAGCAAATAAATAGTTTAGCCAGTAATCTTGGCATTAAGTCACATACCTTTTATGAAATGATATCTGATACAGGAAACAGGCTTGGACATTAATAAATTTTTCACATCCCTATACTTGTGGATTATACCCTTCTAAACTATGTTTGCTGCAGATATGTATAAGCATGTTGCAAGAACCCATTATGCTTATTGATGAAAAGTACTTTATATTTTCGATGAATAGCATTGAGTATCTGCTACATGCCAGACATTACACTGGATACTTTATTTACATAATCTCTGATTTTCACATAACCTACATACTAGCAAGGGGTATCCTTACTGGGGATGGAAGTACATACAGGGTGACAAGGAAGCTGTTTACATTCTCACAGTGACCTCTGGTTATAAGTGCCTTCTTTTTGCCGAATTTCTATTGTTTGTTCATTTTATGTTCAAGTTAAGATTTTTTATCTTGCCATGCTGAACATGCTGTCTCTGTATTCCACACAGCATCTACCTAGGTGTGAAACCTAGCCTCTTCTTCAGCTTGCACATATATTCACTTGAGACATTTGTGCATGTGGTAGATTTTACTGAAAGGGAAGGAAGGATTTATTTCCAGCATCACAAACAACTTCAAATTAACAGCAAATATCTCATGCCACTTGGGAAATTTTTCCTCTAGCCAGTTCACCCCACAGAGCAGGACAATCACTTACTGATTTCACTTCCTCTTCTTTCCCTCACACTCTACCCCAGCTTTACTTCTGATTGAATTATGTATAATACTTTAGTTCTTATTCCCTAATGAGCCTTGGGCTTCCCTTTGCATATCCAGTCACCTAGGCATATGCTCAGTGAAACAAAAAAGGGCCCACAACTCTCAGAATTCACCCTCCTTATAAGGCAGTAGTGGTTCTAAGCAGAATTTCCCCCCATTGGTATTATCCTCATGTTACAAGTGAGTAAACAAGTGTAAAGATTTAATGACTTGTCCAGGATTATTTAGGTAGTAAGTGATAAAGTCAGATTTTGTATCTAGGTCCAGTTGTTCCTACCAAACAAGACACTTTTCAAAAAGGGAGTTGGAAAAGACGCAAGTTAAGGTCCTCTGAGCTTGAAAATAGGAAAATTTCTTTGGAAAATTCATAGCATCTGAATCTACTTGGTTTAGGGGTACATTTACCATTGTGGCCCAAAGATGCTGTTTAATAAGGTAGGGGAACATAATAAGTAAAAATTTTCAGTTATTTGAGAAATCTTGCCTGGTAGCAAGCAAATGGGATATTTGTTATGGCTAATAGTAAGAGATTACTATGAATATTTATAAGTTCAATAGAAGAGATTGACAAATTCTTAGAATTATACAACCATCTGAGACCGAACAGGGAAGAAATAGAAAACCTTAACAGGCCAATCACAAGCAAGAAAATTGAAATGGTAACCAAAACTTTCCCCAAAAAACAAAAGTTCAAGACCAGACTGCTTCACAAGTGAGTTTTATCAAATCTTCCAAGAGAGGCTAATATATACCATGTTCATATTCTTTCAAAAAATTGAGAAAGAGGGAATACACCAAATGCATTTTATCAGGCCAACATTACTCTAATACCAAAACCAGACAAAGAAAACATCAAAAAGGAAAACTACAGACCAATGCAAAAATCCTAAAAAAAAAAATCTTAGTAAATCAGGGCCTCCCTGGTGGCGCAGCTGGTTGAGCACCGCGCTGTGAACCTGTATGCAGCCTCTGCAGCACGGGTTTGATTCCTGGTCGGCCAGGAAGATACCCACATGGTGGGGCAGACCTCTCCTGTCTCGCCCGCTGCTCCCCTCAGCAGTGTCTTTAGTCCATCTGCCTGTTCTGCTCCTTGCTCTGTCTCTGGTGAATCCTCTCACCACCACCCCCGCACCTCTTGCCTGTACCCCAGTTCTTGTATAAATAAATAAATCGTAAAAAAAAAAAAACTACACTTAAAAAAAAAAAAGAAATATAAAATCTTAGTAAACCAAATCAAACAATGCATTAAAAGGATTATACACCATGATCAAGGGGAATTTATACCAAGAACGCAGGGATAGTTCAACATCTGAAAATCAGTCAATGGAAAATTTGTGTTTTAAAATTCATTTATAGATTGACTAGCCTGATAAATGTACATTGATCCTCTCATTTTCATTGTATTTCTCTTAAAATAGTTTTCTAATAGCTGCTCATTTTTTTTTACAGAGACAATTAAAGGCAGATGCTAAAAAAGCTATTGGAAGGCTTCAACTACGTACACTGAAACAAGGAGACAAGGTGCATTTATGACTTTAAATGCTGTTTGTTTTAAAGCATTACTACCAGTTGTTGAAATTAACTGTTCTCCCAAAATATGCCTTTCACTGGAATTCATGAATCTTTTTTAAATTATTATTTATTTTTGGAGTTTATAAATCTTACTGACTTTTTTAAAATCTATTTGATGCTGCAAGTAGGCCGAATAATGTCCCCCAAAGATAACTACATCCCTGGAACCTGTGAATGTTGCCTTATATAGTAAAGCAGACTTTACAGATGTGATTGAGTTCAGGTTCTAGAGATAGGGAGATTATCCTGCATTATCCAAGTGGGCCATAAATATAATCATAGTGTCATTATAAGAACAAAAAAATAAAGGGAATTTTGACTCTAATACAGCAAGTGATATGATAATGGGAATAAGAGGTAGGAGTGATGGGAGAAAGGGACCATGAGCCAAGAAAAGGGATTCTCTCCTGGAACCACCAAAAGGAATACCGTACTGCAAACACCTTGATTTTTAAGACTTCTCATTTTCAGAATACTAAGGGAAAAAAATTGTGTTATTTTAAGTTATAGTGATGTGTTACAACAGGAAATTAACACAGTACAACTTTATTTGAATATCAATTTTCAGAGTTAGGACAGTTGAAAAATATCACTGATAGGGAAAACATGGCTATAGAATTCACTGAAATTAAAAATATCATATATAATAGCACTAAAACCATTATATATTTAGGTGTAAATCTTACATAATATGTACAAGATCTCTAGGATGCAAACTGTAAAACACCATTGAAAGAACACAAGCTTTTTTTTGAATTTGAAAAGTTGATTATAAGATTACATGAAAAGCTAAATAAGTAGAATAACCAAAACAATTTTGGTAAAGAACAACAAATTTGAATGATTTACATTACCTAATT